ACGTCCTTGATGGCGCTGCCGTTGTCCCCGACGACGTCGCGCACCTTCTTGCCGACCGCCTGTCCAGTCGTCGTCGGCGTCCGTCGTCGTCGTCGTCGTCGTCGTCGTCGTCGTCGGCGGCCGCGCCGCCACAGCCGCCGCCGCCGCCGCCGCCGCCGTCGTCGTCGTCGTCGTCGCCGTCGTCGTCGTCGTCGTCGTCGTCGTCGTCGTCGTCGTCGTCGTCGTCGTCGTCGTCGTCGTCGTCGTCGTCGTCCTCGTCGTCGTCCTCGTCCTCGTCGTCGTCGTCGTCGTCGTCGTCGTCGTCGTCGTCGTCGTACTGGTCGCCGGCGTCGACGACGAAAAACGTTGGCCCATTGTCTTCGCCGACACCTGACAGCGCAGAGGGGGTAGGGGGACGGGAGGCTTCTTGGAAGCACGCTGCTCCTTAGAAGGCGCCGACCCTACATCTACAGACAAGGCCAGCGTCTTCTACGAATCAGGGGTGCCTCTACGAAGGCTCCCCCCTGACACTACCCCCCTCTCCGCGTGGCCGAGTGTTATCCGCTCGCTGCCTGAACTCAAGCATTCCGATCATCGACAAGCGTTCATGGATCGACGATCGTCGCCACCGCCGACGTCAACGTCGTGATCGCCGACGCCGTCGACGACGTCGCACGGCGAAGCGAGTCTGTCTCAAGAACGGGGCCACTCCCTGAACTCCCCGCGCACCGCGACGACAAGGCAGACCAGCTTCGGCAGGCCCCCTTGCCGGCGCCGGGCGCCTGGCGCCCGGTCAGCCTGCCAGTGCCGCAGACAGAGCTCCGCGCTCGCGTGGCAACGCCTCCTCCGCACGTCCCCGGTCGTTGTCACCGCTGTGAGGTTGGGGGGTATAGTTGGATGCGGAGCAGTGAAGGGAAGGGGGGGATGCGGAGCGTCCGAGGCGTGTTCGGTGTATGGCCTCGCTGCTTCTGCTCACTCACTTCTGGGGCATCGGACAAGCCTTCCGAGGTGACCGACAGACTCTGGGCGCTTGCTGATGGGGCGGATTGCGGGGGGGGGAGGGGAAGATAAAAAGGGAAGGCGGGAATCAGGCGGAGGAGGAGGAGGAGGAAGGTTGGAGGTAGCCAGAGGAGCCAGAGAAGCCAGAGGAGGAGGAGGAGTAGGGCGGAGGAGGAGGCGGAGGAGGAGAAGGAGGAGGACGACGAGGAGGATGAGGAGGAGGAAAGCTGGACGAGGCCAGAGGAGCCAGAGAAGCCACATGAGGCGAAGGAGAAGGAGGAGGAGGAGGAGGAAGGCAGGAGGAGGCCAGAGGAGCCAGAGAAGGAGGAGGAGGAGGAGGAGGAGGAGGAGGAGGAGGAAGAAGAGCGTGAGGAGGCCTGGCTCACGTCCCGGAAGTCGTAGTCCTGTGAGCGCGGGCGGCGCCAGCCGCTATCCAGAGCGGGCGGCCCGGCCCCGCTCCCGCACCCGGCGCCGGTGCGCCGACAACCACTTCCTCCTCCTCCTCCTCCTCCTCCTCCTCCTCCTCCTCCTCCTCCTCCCTCCTCCTCCTCCTCCTCCTCCTCCTCCTCCTCCTCCTCCTCCTCCTCTCCTCCTCCTCCTCCCTCCCTCCTCCTCCTCCTCCTCCTCCTCCTCCTCCTCCTCCTCCTCCTCCTCCTCCTCCTCCTCCTTCCTCCTCCCTCCTCCTCCTCGTCCTCCTCCTCCTCCTCCTCCTTTCTCCTCCTCCTCCTCCTCCTCCTCCTCCTTCCTGCCCACAAGAGATTGAACGGCGGCCGATGACAAGACCTCCGTGCTTAGACCTCGAACCTCCATCTCGAGCCCGACCCATTCGAACCGGAGGGTCACTCTCGATCACGCGTGGCCGACTCCCCCATGGTCTCTGGGTCACAACTCATGTCCACGGCGGCCATCTGGCACGATCCGAACACCCCTGGGACGCTCTCGGCGGGGCGCAGGTGCCCGAAGACGTACCCAGACAGGGAACATCTCCAGGAACCAGACCCCAAGGTCCGACGTCGCGACATATTGCCACACCATGCAAACCACGACAGGAGTCCTGGACCCCATAACTGTAATGACAGGAATGTCCCGGGACGGATCGATCTATGACGACCCCCGGGGGCCCCAAAAAGTCAGCGAGAGCGCTCTGAGAGAAGAGTGCGACACAGGGATCTCTGGCGACAACGACGGAGACAACGACGGCGTCCACCCCTCCTGAAGGGAAGCGTTAGAGGCATCGACGTGGAGGCGGCGAAACATCGCCGAAAGACTGGCGATGGGCCCACGATGCCAAGACCGCAGTCCTTGGCGGGGTGGGATGTCAGGCCCAGCATCGGCGATCCGTGGGCGATTCTAGGTCGATGCCGATGCGCTCCCCCTGGGTGTTCGCGACGATCTGGGCTACCCCAGGACGCTCCCAGCGAGGCGCAGCTGCTGAGGAGCATCGCGAGGCGGGAAGGCCGCCAAAAGCCCACGAGAACGCCCGAAAAAAAATCTCGAGGCTTCGACGCACCCGCCTGGATCTTGCCCTCGCCCGTAACCGTTGCCCCGCCCCCCGCCTGGCCCCTTACAGACTCGGGGGCGCGCAGACACGGATGAGCGATTCATGGATTTGGCGCGCGGTCGCCTAATCCATGGATAGGGGGAGGCGCCCTCCCCACAATGTGGCCAAAGCCGCCTCGCTCGGCGGTGGAAATCAACAAATTCCAATGGAAACGGGACCCGTCGCTAATCCACGCCCCGTCAATCCATGTTTGCGATCGCGTGAACCACCCTTCGAGCCCCTAGCGTGGCCCTCGAAGCAAATCCCCCCCCCCGAGCCCAGACCCCCGACGAGTCGACCTTGTCATGACTTCCCCCCGTCCACGAGCCCAGACCCCCGACGTCAGGAGGTTTTCTGACGTCGACCCCCCGGGCCCCAGAGGTCTGGACCCCTCCCCCAGGACCTGTCTTTCATCCTGAGCCGCGCGTTGACCTGAGTATTTTCTTAGGGTGGAGGGCTCCGGGTGAAATCCATAGCCGTGCGCGGGCGATAATAATCTCCGCGGATAATAAAGTTCGGGGCTTTGTCGGGGATCATCAAAGATTTTCCCGGGGATGGGGATGATGATGATTGTGACGATGACGATGAAAACGATGGTGATCCTGGGCGCTCGGCACAAGGCTGGCTCGAGAGATCTCGAGGCTCGTGGGTATACAGCTTGGCAGCAGGCGCTCGGCACAAGGCTGACTTGAGAGATCTCGAGGCTCGTGGCTATACATTTGCCAGCAGGCGCTCGGCACAAGGCTGACTCGAGAGATCTCGAGGCTCTTGGCTATACATTTACCAGCAGGCGCTTGGCATAAGGCTGATTCGATCGGCCTCGAGGCCCGTGGCTATACAACTTGCCAACACGCGGTCGGCACAAGGCTGATTCGATAGACCTCGAGGCTTGTGCATGCATTTTGCCATCGCAAGAGAGGTCCTTGGCCGATCTGGCCAAGAAACCTCTCTTGCGCTGGACTTCCATCCGCTCTCCCATGCAAGCACGGCGTCCTTTGGAACCGTCCTTGCATGGGAGACGCTCGGTGCAAAGCTGGGCGGCAGCGCTTGCCTCCTCGAGAGTGGCGTACTTCGGCTCGGCCGCCGCGGGGTCCCTGCAGGGAATGGACTTGAAAGTGGGAGGCTCGCCGCCGTGGCGCACTCGGCGGCCTGGGACATGGCTGAGGCCCGCGACGCACCCAGGGGCAACGAGAAGGGGCGATAGGCATGGGGGGAAACATCGACCTGGAATCGGCGATACATCGCCGATGCATCGGTGATGCGCGCCCGATCGTGAATCCGAATGTTCCTGGGCAGGCTCCGCATGCCTATCCCCCCCATATCGCTGCCCCTGGGGCGAAGAGGCTCGGCGCCTCAAAGAGGCTCGAAAGCTTGGAGTCTCGGAAGCTCGGGGAAGCTCGGGCCTGGGTGGCTGCGGGGGCAGAGGAGGAGGAGGAGGAGGAGGAGGAGGAGGAGGAGGAGGAGGAGGAGGAGGAGGGGGAGGAGGAAGAAGAAGGGCCACGAACCGTGTGAAGGGTGCGCTAAAAAAGTACTGCTCTGCCTGCTCGAAAAACGCATGTACAATCAAAATCCAATCGGTCCGCATGGCCCTGCCACACGTTCCTGACTCGGGAACGGCTGAGAAAGTGAGAATACCATGGCCCTGCCGCACGTTCGTAACCTGGGCAAACTGACCTGGTGAGCATCCCACAGCCCTGCCACACGCTCGTGATTGCGGACGCTGGTGTGGTGAGACCACCATGGCCATGCTCAGCGTTTTTGATGCTGTTGCTAGTCAATATGAGATACTCGCAACTTCGATTCGCAACTTCCCCCATGGATTATAGAGTTTGGCCTCCGTGCCTATCTCCACAATTGAATCCTGTTGGACGGGGATGATAAAAATAGAAGGAGTGAAGGGGGGGTGGGCTTTATTATCGCCCGCGCTCAGTTATGGGCTTCGGCGCCTCGAAAATCGATCCATCTTGTGATTCGCCTTTTGCAGACTCAGGCCTCGAAGATCCATCGAAACGGCATTTCAGATTTCACCCCTTGCCCTCCGCCCAAAGAAACTGATCGGTTGACGGTCCCGAGGCTTGGCAAGGGCCCCAATAGGCCAAGAGTCATGAAAAATCTCGTGTCTTGATCTTGTCGTGACTGGATATCGGCCTCCCAGATGGGGTTCGAGGAAATGAGGTCGGAGGATCGCGCAACATCGACAATACATCGGCGGTACATCGACGATGCATCGGCGCTGCCTCGGCGACATCGGCAATGCATCGGCGACGCCAGCGTGGAGAACATCCTGCTCCACGTCGAGCCGCAGCGCCGACGCACCGAGGATGCGGCGCCATCCTCCGACCCCACCTGCTCGGACCCCATCTGGGAGGCCTGGGACCGGAGGGGGGTCTAGGGGGCCACATGCGAGCCCTACCCCTACCCCCCACGACTTCTGAGGGGGGTGGGGGTAGGGGTAGGGTTCGCATGTGGCCCCCGGGGGGTCTGGGCACACTGCCCCCGACACCCCCTGCGCCCCTCTTGGGGCCGCGGGCGGCGGCGCGCGCCCGCGCCGCGGAGAGGGCGCTGCAGCGGGCGCCGCTCCCCGCGGGCCGCGGGGGGGGAGAGACCCGGCCGAAGGGCGCGGCTCAGCTGACGGAGCCCCTCGCGGAGGAGGCGCGGCGCTCCTGGGGGCCAGCGGGGCAAGGGGGCGAGGGGCAGGGCCGAGGAAGCAGCGGGGCCGAGGAGGAAAGGCAGGGGGCGAGGGCGGGGCCGAGGAGGTACGGGGGGGGGGGGAGGCGAGAGCAGCGCGGAGGGGGGAAGGGGCGAGGGCGAGGACAGAAGGGCCAGGGCGGCAGGGGGGGGTGGAAAGGGGGGTCGACTTCGGGAGGTCCGCGCAGCTTTCTTGGATTGGCGCTGGACCCCCCTGACGGCGCCTCCAGCGCCGCCGCTGGCGCGCTCCGCGCGCCAGGGAGGCGGTCCAGCGGAAGGAGCGAAATCCGACCCACTCCGCTGCGCGCGATCCGAGACATACCCACGGACCTCCGACATTTGATGCTGATGTTCTTCGAAATGAGGTGGCCCTGGCCCCCTGCATGGGGACGGGGTCGAGAGGTCGGGGGGGCCCACGCATCGAAAGCAAACGGAGCGCAGGGTGCCTGGGGCGAGGAGATAGAGGGGTTGGGGAAGGCAGGCAAGGTTCGCTGGCGCAGAATCTGTCATCCCACGCCCCCTCCTCCACATCACCCCTCCCCCCAAACCCCCGCTGCCGTGATTTTTGCCACAAGGCGGACTCCCAGAGGCCTGGACCCCTTCCCTGGGACCGGCTTGTCACCCTGAATCGTTCATTGATTGTCCCGGGGCCTGGTGAGGGCTCCCAGAAGCTCTCCTCTGGGGAGCGCGAGGCAAACACATGCATGCCCACCTGCCTTCTGCAAGCCTTGCGACTGTGTGTTCGCAATCGTACGCTGCTGGGCGTGGCAAGGTGCTGAACAGCCCAGCGGCGAGGACGCTCTGTCTGAAGGTGACGCGAGGCTCCTTTACCTCGCCATTGTTCGCTCATCTTTCCTCCTCCTCCTCCTCCCTTCCTCCTCCACCTCCTCCTCTCTTCCTCCTCCACCTCCTCCTCCTCCTCCTCCTCCTTCTCCTCCTCCTCCTGCTCCTCCTCCTCCTCTCCTCCTCCTCTCCTCCTCCTCGTCCGTTTCCTCCTCCTCCTCCTCCTCCTCCTCCTCTTCCTCCTCCTCCTCCTCCTCCTCCTCGTCATCCTCATCCTCCTCCTCCTTCTCGTTCTCCTCCTCCCGCCCCCGGCAGGAGGAGCCTGATCTCCCCGAACGCCCGGTGGCTTCGGGCAGGTCTGTCCGGGACTGGGACCCCCAGGCGCCCCGGCCGAAGCCCGGGAGGGTGGAAGAGGGCCCCTTCCCCTCCTCCACCCCGATCCCCCGCGCGCGCTCTAGCGCGGCGGAGGAGGAGGGAGCACGGAGGGTCCTCCTCCTGCTCCTCCTCCTCCTCCTCCTCCTCCTCCTCCTCCTCCGCCGCCTCCTCCTCCTCTTCCCCCTTCCCTCCTCTCTCCTCCCTCCTTCCCCCCCCCCGACGCCAAAGCGCTCCAGGCAGGTCTGTCCTCCGTGACTGACGCCCTGGCCCCCCCTTGCCAGAGGCCGAGGGGGTGGGGCGGAGGAGGGAGATCCGCGAGAGGCAAGCAGGGTGGGCAACCCTCCTCCCCCCCCCCCTCCCCCCCTCCCACACCCACTCCACCCCCCTCCCCATCCCCCCTCCCGCTCCCCCGCCCCCCTGCCCCCCTCCTCCATGCCCCCCCCCTACCCTCCCACAGCGCCCCCCCCCCCCCGACGCCCAGTCCCTCGCCGGAGGGGGGGGGCGGAAGGAGGAGGCAGACGGTGCGGTGAAGGAAGAGGGAGAAAGGAGAGAGGTCCTCCTCATCCCACCCTCCCGCCCCTCCCCCCGCACAAGCTGCACGTGCAAGTGCATCCCCGTCGCGCCACCAAGCGCGTGTCGGCGGGGCCAGGGCGACTCACTTGAGACGCCCTCACCACCTGTGCTCTTGACAGCTCGACGGGCCGAGGGCGGCACGCTCTCCAGATGCGGCTCCCGCTGCTCCGCGGCGAGACTTCGCCCTGGAAGTCTCCAGCACCTGCGCGGGTAGAGGACGGATGCTGGTCAAAGATGGCAATCGGATACCGGATACCCCAGCACTCGCGCGGATGTAGAGCGGGTGATGTTCAACATGTGAACCCATCGCCTCTGCGCCGCACGCATTCGCCCTCGATGCTCCCGACGAGTACATGGATGGATGGCGCCCCCTTCTGAGCATGACTCTGTCGGTGGAGAGGTCCTCTGATGTTGTAGCCAGAGTGGTGATGTGCTCAGTGTGCGGGCAGAGCGCGGTTCAGTCCAATCTCTGATTGTTCGGCACACAGGTCGACAGCAGGCGGGCGGAGTGGGAGGGAAAGGAGGAGGACGAATATTCTCATGGTCCCCAAGGAGCCATTTTGCCCCTCCTCCTGCTCCTCCTCCTCCTCCTCCTCCTGCTCCCGTCTCGTTCACGATTGTGCGTCCTGCGGCTTGATGCCCATCAGCTGATCCATCGCCGCGTCCTCCTTCTTGAACTGGAGCAGGCTCTTGACCTTCTGGCGACAGACGGGGCACCTGGCGGGGGCGCGGACTGATTCTTCTTCGGCGCGGCGGCCGGCCGTTCTCATGAAGGATGCGCGGGCGCGCCAGATCGCCATCGCTCGGACGTCCACTCCCCGTGTGTGTTTCGGCCTCGTGCGTGTACTGCTTCGCAAGAAGATCCAAGATGTTCCTCGATGGTCCTAGCCGAGGCACAGCGCGCACGTCCGAGCGATGCCAAGGGAGCAGCGGACCCACCAATCTCCAGCGACGCCCGGCGTCTCGAGCCGCTGGCCTCCAGAGCCCTCGACAGGCTCTCCTCGGGGGGTCGGCTCCTCCTCCCGCACCACTTCTCCGGCGGCCCCAGGGGGGGGGGGGGGCCCTCTGCGAGAGGCCCGCCGTTGGCGGCCCTCCCCGGCAGGCCCCACACTTTGGAGGCCTGGAAATTGGCACCAACACCAGCACAGGGGGTTGCCTCCACATGGGGAAGATGATCCTAGATTTCGGTGTTGGTGGTAATATTTCGGTCACCTTGCAAGCCAGAGTATTACCACCATCGCCGAGATCGGGATCGTCTTCCCTCGGTGGAGGCACACCGACGATCTTGGTGTTGGTGTCAACCTGTAGGCCTGCGAACACTGCCGGTGATGGGTACCGCCTTGTGGTGCTGCCGTGGAGGCCAGAGTGAGCAGAGGCCCGCGGCCCCCCCGCGGAGAGCGGAGCAGGGGGAAGAACCGCCCGGGCGGAAGACTGCACCGCAGGAGGCCTGGGGCTACGTATGTCTCCGCTCCGCCCCGGGGACACGGGTCGGTTCGAGAGAAGAGGCCCGCGCCTGCCCGTTCGGAAAGGCCTCCGTTCGGACCTCAGGATGGCATTCGGCAGGCTGCTCAGCAAAATCCGGGCGCCCTGTGAGTGCGGTACCGAATAGAAACATCTCGTCGTCACCCACCCACCGGCGTCTTCCTTCTCCTCCTCCTCCTCCTCCTCCTCCTCCTCCTCCTTCTCCTCGTGTCGCTTCTATTTCTCCTCTCCCCCCCCCTCCCCAGTCCTATCCTACCTCCTGCTCCTCTTCCTCACACCCTCCCAACCCCTGGCGCCAGCGCCACTCCTCCTCTTCCTCCTGCTCCTCCTGCTCTTCCCGTCCAGACCTCCCTTCCGCCTCCTCCAACCTCAGAGCTGACACCAGACCCCTCCCGGAGTCCTGGAACACGTTCTGACCAGCTCGCGCCGGACCTGGGTGTGACGACGAGGGCCCACCCACCGTTGGGGGGGGGAGGGATGGCAAGGAGGAGGAGGAGCACGAGGTGGATCCGCCTCCGCCTGTCCCTCCTCCCCCGTGCCAGGATGACTGTAGATACTCCTGACGTAGTTTAAAAAACAAAAACGCTATGAACATTACACTGCTGGCGCTCCGCGCGGAGCGCTCAAAGTTTCGGTTATGGCGTTTGTCTTCGTCGAGTACCTGGCCGCCTCCCCGTCCTTCCTTGCCTCTGCTCGCCTGGCAGGCGCGTGTGCGCCCGCCGCCCGCAGCGCGAGGGGCCTGGCCGAACGTCGTGGAGCCGCCAGGAGGCTGAGCAGACGTCTTCGGGGGCGGCGCGCTGTCAGCTCGGACTGTGCGCCCCAACCTGCTCGGGACCTTCTGCCCGGCGGCGAGCGAGGGGGGGGAGGAAGTGAGAAGGAGAGGGCCTTCTCAGAGGGCGGCGGGACTTCTCAGAAGCCCTCGCGCCTTCAGAGAAGCTCCGGCAAACTGCAGCAAAATACAAAACAGCTCGACGGCGGCTGCGGCGGCGACGACGGAGGCGGCGTCCGCGAGCGGCGCTTCTCGCACTGCAGCCGGACGATGCCAGCGCAGTAGCCGCAGAAGCACATGTGCCGGCAGGGCAGAACGGCCTCGCGCCGCAATGCAACATCGTGGTCATCGTGGTCATCGTCGTCGTCGTCGTCATCTTTGTCGTCGTCGTTGTCGTCGTCGTTGTCGCGGTCCTTCTCCTCCTCGTCGTCGGATCGAGTTGTGTTGTTGTTGATGATGTTGTTGTTGTTGTTGTTGTTGTTGTTGTTGTTGTTGTTGTTGTTGTCGTTGTCGTTGTCGTTGTCGTTGTCGTTGTTGTTGTTGATGTTGATGTTGTTGTTGATGTTGTTGTTGTTGTTGTTGTTGAACATTATTACTTCTAAAGAATAATTATTGTTGGGACCCCTGGTGCGCGACCCCCCTCCAAAACCTAGGCCGCAGCTACATTTTCATCATTTTTTAGCGAAAGCTTCAGAAAAGTGAATTATTACCGGATCCGGTTGTTTTGTTGTACTCCGTTTTCCCTTGCAAAAAACACTATAAAATGAAAATTCTTGTTCTTACTTGATCAAATTGCAAGAATCCCTTGCAAAAAATAAGGTAAAGTGGACATTCGTGCGCGCAAGACGAAATCCTTCCAAAACCTTAGGTTTCGTAGCGATTTTAACATAAAAACATCAAAAACCCAATGGTTTTTTAAGAAAAAATTGTCAAAATGTTCTTCCGCGCGCTCTTGCGGATTCGTAGGAAAACCAACACTTTTTAAACAATTCTGTCAAACGGGCTTTTGCGAGCAACTTTTTCGAACTTCTGCGACAACGGTTGCGCACCTGCCAGGGCCATCATCCCTGTCAAATAATACCATGCGGGACACATTCGTTTTTTCTTCGCGCGCGCACGCCGAAATCTCCAAAAACCATTGGGTTTTAAGAATTTTAGCACCGCGCATCATAAAATCACACGAATCGCACCGTAGGTCCTCGAAAAACACCTGCACGACTTTTCAAAATTTCCACCCGCGCGCGCTGTCCTCTCTCTCTCTCTCTCTCTCTCTCTCTCTCTCTCTCTCTGTCTTTGTACTATGTATGTCATGCGCAACAAATGCACGATGCGGGGCACATGCGGGGCCCAAACAAGTGATCAACCTCTGCGGGTGTGTACTCCACGCCAGTGTAGTATCCACGATCGTCCGCGCGCCACGAAGTGAAGTGTCCTGACGTCATAGGGCGGGAAGCTGGGTGTGGGTGGTTCCCGAGAGTCGTGTGGATGTTTGGTAGAGCTTGCATTGCCCCCCCACGAAGTGGGGGTATTGGCTGGCGTCGCATGAAAACCCTGGCACTGGGGAGAACACTGAGCGTTCGGGTAAAATGATTGTTTGTTGTTGTTGTTGTTGTTGTTGTTGTGCGGGTTTGGCCTCCAGAGGAGTCTGGAGGCCTCTGAAGATCTTCAGCGATCTCTGGAGGTCGTCGCCGTCATCATTGTTCTCGTCCTCGTCGTCGACGCTCTCGATCGACGTTTTCGTTTTTGTCATCGCTCTCCTCCTCCTCCTCCTCCACCTCCTCCACCTCCTCCTCCTACTCCTCCTCTTCCTCCTCCTCCTCCTCCTCCGCCTCCTCCTCCTCCTCCTCCTCCTCCTCCCCGTCCTCGAAGTTGTCGTCATCGTTGTTGTTCTCGCCCTCGTAGTCGTCGCCCTCGTTCTCCTATCGTGACTCGCCCCCATCCTCGTCAACGTTATCGTCTTCGTCGCAGTCGCCGTCGCCGTCGTCGTCGTCGTCGTCTTCGCAACCACCGTCGTCGGATCAGAATGGATGCGCGTGGTGCTTTGGCACGCTCTGCGCCTGCAGAGGCACTTGGACGCCTGGGGACCTACCGAAAACTCCAGAGGTCTCCAAAAGACGTCGTCTTCGCCGGGTCGAAAAACGGTGTGCTGTGGCTTTTTGTTGGTCCGTCTGGGGAAACGTCCGGCGGCCTACAGGGGCCTCCGGAGATCCGCAGAGAGCTCCGGACGGCGCCGTCGCCGTGGCCGGGAGGGAGGGAGGGAGGGAGGGCCCTGTCGCCTGCGTCGTCGAAGCCGCCGCCGCCGCCGTCGTCGTCGGGGATGAGAGGGTGGTGCTGAGCCTACCCGTCGGCCGGCAGAAGCAGGCAGAAGAACGAAGCAGGAAGGCGTTGGAGGTGGATCGGGCTTCTCCCGCCCACCCTCTGAAGAGCAGGGGGAGGGGAAGCCGACGGGCTCTTGAGGCAGGACGGCGCCTGGGGCAGATTGGGGACTTGGGCATCCAAGGATGCGTGCTTTCGACGACCGGCGCGTACTGGCTACACGGAGCAGGGCCTCCTCTCCACAGGGTAAGCGCCCTGCCGCCCCGCGCCGAGGGGGGGAAGAGCCTCCCCCGCACACGGCCAAGAGGAGGAGGAGGAGGAGGAGGAGGAGGAGGAGGAGGAGGAGGAGGAGGAGGAGTAGGAGGAGGAGAGGAGGAGAGGAGGCGGCACAGGAGGAGGACTACGAGGAGGAGGAGGAGGAGGAGGAGGAGGAGGAGGAGGAGGAGGAGGAGGAGGAGGGGAAAGAGGAGGAGGAGGAGGACGAGGAGGAAGAGGAGGAAGAAGAAGAGAGGGCGAAGAGACGAGGTGGAGTTCGGGCACCCTGAGAGAAGGAGAAGGAAGAGGAGGAGGAGGAGGAGGAGGAGGAGAAGCAGGAGGACCAGGAGAGACGGAGAAGCAGAAGGAGCAGGGAGAAGGAGGAGGGAGGAAGGTAGGGGATGATGATCATGCTGTTGATGCCGATGTTGATGATGATGATGATGATGATGATGATGATGATGATGATGATGATGATGATGATGATGATGATGATGATGATGATGATGATGATGATGATGATGATGATGATGAGGATGAGGATGATGATGTTGATGATGGTGATGATGATGATGATGCTGGCAATGATGATGTTGTTGCTGCCTTTGGCCATGGTGATGATGATGCTGATGATGATGGTGATGATGACGATGGTGATGCTGATCACGATGATGTTGTTGATGATTATGATGTTGAGGAAGAAAATGAGGAAAGGGAGGAACACGTGCAAATACTCAGCAGGGAAGAACGAACGGGTAGAGAAAGAAAGAGATACAGATCGCCATCGACGACGCCTGTCGCTACCGCAACACATAGCGGGGGGGGGGAGTGGAGCAAGGGATGGGAGAGTGAAGGTACCCTTTGGCATCCTTGACAAGGCCACACTTTGCACAGGATGGCATGCATGCATCGGTCCTGCTTTCCTGAACAGAGCGCGCGTGCACTCAGCTCTTGGGGCCTGGTTGGATTGGCCCTGGCACTTCCAAAGGACAGGGGGGGATCAGGAGAAGTGGAGCTGGGCATCACGAGCCTGATGACGGCAGCTGACACTCTAAGTCGGACCTCTTCTGTGCGAACTGCTCCAGCCGCTTGGCTTCTTTCACACGCTGCGTGCTATGTTCCTGCGCGGTTGATGGTATCTGTTCTGCACGACCTCCTTGGCGCAACAGCATTCGTAGCCAGTGCCAGGACGCCTGAAAAAAAGAGGAGCAGGGGATTCACTTACCGAGGGGAGGAGGACGCAGGGAGGACTCGTGATCAAACAGCGTCCTTCCTTCCCCTCCCTGCCTTCCTCCATCCGAGGACAATAATTTCTCCAGCCGAGGAGGGGGGGAGGAGGATGCAGGGAGTACTCGTGACTAAAGAGCCTTCTCCCCTCGCTTCTCATCCTCCCTCTCTTCCTCCCCCCTCCTCCTCCGCCTCTTCCTCCTCTTCCTCGTCCTCCTGTGTCCCTCCTCCTCCCCTCCTCCTCTTCGAGGTGGAAGAACACTAGGAGGACTGGGGGGAGAAGGGAGGGGAGGAGGGGAGAGAGGGAGGGAATGGCGAGGGAGCGGGAGGGAAGGAGGAGGGGGCGGGACGCCGCCGAAAACGGCGGCGAGGGCTGCCGAGGGAGAACGGGGGGGAGAAGGACAAGGAAAAGGTGGAAGAAGGGCAAGGTGAGAGGAAGGAGGGGCAGAGGGAGGGAAAGAGGGGGAGGGGAAGGGACGAGGAGCAGAAGATAGGGGCGGTCGACGAGGCCGACGAGGTCGAGGGTGAAGTCGATCCTGCCCTGGAGGCCCAGACGTGCCGGGAGGCCTCCAAGTCAGAGGTGCCCCCGCCCGCCCCCTCGCCATCGCTCGGACGTCCATTCCGTGTTTTGTTCGGTTTCGTGCGCATTTTTTCGCCAAATGATCAAGGATGCTGCTCGATGGTCCTCGCCGAAGGAGAAATGCACACGTCCGAGTTATGCCAAGCCCCTGGGAAGCGCCTCCGAAGGCTCCGCAGGGTCCGAGCGCGCCCAAAACACCCCTGTGGGCTTCCCGCGCTGCGTGGGCCCTGGAGCGCGCGACCCCTTCCCGAGGGGGGCGGCCGCTCCGCCCGCGAGCGTGCTCTCGGCCCGGGGCGGGGGCGAACTCTGCCCGTGCCCGCCGAGGGCGACTGGCCGGCTGGCCGAGCAACGTCGGGGAGGCAGCTCGGGAGCACGGTACGGGCCTCCTCCTCCTCCTCCTCCTCCTCCTCCTCCGCACCTCCTCCTCCTCCTCCTCCTCCTCCTCCTCCTCCTCCTCCTCCTCCTCCTCCTCCTCCTGCTCTTCCCTCCTCCCTCCTCCCTCCTCCCTCCTCCCTCCTCCCGGCACGGGGCAGCGCAATAATGTTGAGCCGCGGGCACCCGCATCCGCGCCCGCAACCGAAATCGGGCAACGCGTTCTGAGCCGCGGACGCCAGCAGCCGCACCATCATCGTCAGCATCATTATCATTACCACCATCATCATCAGCAACATCAGCAACACCATCATCGTCATCATCGTCATCATCGTCGTGATCATCACCTTCACCATCACCATCACCATCATCGGCATCAACATCACTATCACCACCACCATCATCGGCATCACCATCATCATCGTCGTCATCATCATCGGCCCCGCCGCCCTTCGCCTCCGCAATCGCCACTCGCCCCCTGGCCAACACAAGTGCTGCCCGTGCTGTCCCTCCATCCTGCGGCCACACGGAGCGCCGCCCGCCGGCGGCGCGGAGCCCCCCGCTCCGCGCTGCTGCCCTCGACTGGCCGCCCCTGGAGCCCCCCAACGCCCCCCCCGCTTCCCGAGGCTGGAGGCGGTGAAGGACCTCGGCATCAAGCCTCGGTCCACGAGGAGGAGGGAGGGAGGGAGGGAGGGAGGGAGGGAGGAGGGAGGAGGGAGGGAGGGAGGGAGGAGGGAGGGGGGAGGGAGGGAGGAGGGAGGAGGAGGAGGAGAGGAGGAGGAGGAGGAGGAGGAGGAGGCAGAGGAGCAGGAGGAGGAGGAGGAGGAGGAGCAGGAGGGAGCAGGAGGAGATCTGCGCGCTCGGTCCCCGAGGGGGAGGAGAAGGAGGGGGAGGAGGAGGAGGAGGAGGAGGAGGAGGAGGAGGAGGAGGAGGAGGAGGATACAGACATCCTCCGATCTGGTTCCCCCGATCCGCGGCCGAAAGGCTGCAGAGCCCTTCCTCAAGGGTAGTGCCTCGTCACAGGTTCATTGTAGATGGACCTGGGGCCCGAAAGCGGCCTCTGGAAGCCCGAATGATGGAGAAACGCCACGATTGCAAACCTGTCGTCTGAGACATGGGAACGAGGAGGAGGAGGAGGAGGAGGAGGAGGAGGAGGAGGAGGAGGAGCCCCTGCCAGTGGGGCCGTGTCGCGGGGCTCGCTGAGGCAGATCACGCACTCGGAGCTCCCAGTCTCGGCGCCGTCGTAGTCGGACGCGCGCTTCGGGCGCGAGGGCGTGGTGAGCGCGCGGCCGCAGGGAGGGAAGACTGAAGGAGCAGCAGCAGTAGCAGGAGAAGGCAGTACCAGCCAACATCGAATCGCGAAACCGGTTCGAATCGGAACGAGTAACGGTTCGTGCCGCATCTGTTCTGGTCCAAATGGAATCGTATCGGCTGCGCCCGGAAACGCAGCTACGCTGCGCAAGCATCGGGCCGTATCGGAACACCAGGAAATCGAGATCGAATCGGATCGGGCACAGCTGGGCTCGCCTTTCAATCCTGATCAGAAGGTGCTCAAGGGCAGTCGTCGAAGAGAGGGCGGAGGAATGGAGGCGGGGGCACTGAGGGCGCAGCGACTACGGTGGGCTTGACCTCCTCCCGTGCGTCCCTCTCCTCTGCATTCCTTCCGACTCCTCCTGCAACTGACGTTGCTGCTCCTTTTCCTCCTCTTCCTCCTCCTGCTCTTCCTCCCTCGCCGTCGCAGTCAGATGCGCGCTGGGGAAGGTGGGGGAGCGGGGTGGGCGCGAGGGGCAGGCGTTGAGGATCCTGCCTGTCACCTGGACGCGATGGGCAGGGATGGGCAGTGGGAATCAGGAGGAAGAGAGAGAGGCACAGCACAGGGCAGGATAGAGAGCGGAGGCCAGGAGGGTAGTGGGAGGGTGATGGGAGGGCGAGGGGAGCTGAGGCGGGAGTGATACAAGTGAAGGGGCAGATACGGTCAAATCGAGGACAGAAGAACACCCTCCAAGAACCTGAGACCCTCCGCCGGCGCAACCTGAAGAACATCCATGGGTACTACGAGTACCTCCCCAGGATGCGCACGAGCATCCGCAGAATCCACCTCGCTCCGACCACCTCCCAAAAACAAGACATGCACACATCTGTGAAACATGGAGCGTGTGCGAGCGCAGCCATTTATAGCGAGAGTGCCGCTGCACGCCAAGGTCGGATTCCTCCGGGCGTGAGCCGCCCGTCACACGAGGCCAGGGGCTGGACGTGATCCTTAAGCACTTTACTAAATCGTGACATGCACGAAGGACACTAGGGCACCCTCCCGGAACCGACCTCGAACTTATATCTCGGCCCGACCGTATTGAAAGAAAGCGGACGGAACGGGTGCAGGAGGGAGGGGGGGTGGCTAGGTGGGCGTGGACGGGAATTGAGCACGAGGCAAGGGCGTGGGCGATGGAGGTGCCTTGGAGGCCACTCCGAACACGTCGTGCAGGACGAAGCAGTTGCCCTGATACTGCAACTTCTGCGCGAAGACCTGGAAGCCCTCCTCCTCCTCCTCCTCCTCCTCCTCCTCCTCCTCCTCATTCGCTCATCTTCCTCCTCCGCCTCTCTCCCCCTTTCTCTCTCTCTCTCTCCCCTCCGCCCACCCCCCCACCCCGCCTACTCCTCTTCCTCCTCCTCCTCCTCCTCCTCCTCCTCCTCCTTCCGTAGCCATTTTGGCTCAAGACGGAGCTTACCTCCCGTCCCGACTCCAGAGGCTCGAGGACCGAGGTGGAACGGCAGCCCGCCTCAGGCCAGGCTGCCTCGGTCCCAGGTTTCCAGCAACGCACAACCTCAGTTTCTTTCTTCTGCTGGTCGCCGCGGCGAACGGCCAGCACCCAGTCTCCCCGCAGCCATGGGAGGCTACAAGCAGTGGAAGAAATGCTACTGCCAGACGCCCAGCTGCTGGGGATGGACCTGGCAAGGGCATGGTGGTCACAAGCATTGTTCTGAATGCGGACGCAGTTTCAAGCCTCAGCCTCATCACTCCCGTCCAGCAGGTCACAAATCGGCAGGACACGATGATGGTGGCAGCACCCAGCAGGCCCCCCGCAACAGGTGGTCTCGCAGCCGAGGTGCATCCCGTGGACATGAGGCTCAACAGCAGCAGGATCATGGTCCCAAGACGTCCCTCGCTCCAGAGGGCACCGACCCAGCCAAGGATGACGTGGCCATCTGCATCCAGGCTGTCAACTTTTGGAAGAAAACGGTCGACCAAGAGGGGAAGCAGTACATCCAGGCCTGCGAAGACCTCCGCCTGGCCAAGACCAAGGCGCTCGAGGGCAAGTCGCTGGACGCCAAGACCCAGTCGCTGGCCGACCAGCTCCAGCGGCAGAAGCGCAGGCTCGAGTCGAAGAAGGGCGAAGTTGAGAAGAACCTCATCAGCCTGGACAAGGCCGCCGAGGTGTATGACAAGTCCGTGGAATCGTACAAAGAGCTGCTCGCCGAGGTCTCCCAGCTGGAGGCTCAGCACAGCGTGGCAGCGAAGGCAGCAGTGGCGGAGGCGGCTGCTCGCCTCAATGGCCCTGACAACAAAGAAGACACGACCTTGCTCAACTTTGTGGACAGTAGGTTCCCGCAGGGCCTGCCAGACCACATCAAGAAGGAGCTCGTGGAGGTCAACAAGAAGCTGGAGCAGGAGTGGCAGCAACACCAGCAGCAGCAGCAGCAGCAGCAGCGCCGCAAGTGCTTCAACCTGGGGCGCCTGATAGTGGTGCTCAACCTGTTGCAGTCCAGACGCCCACTCCACCTGATCGACCTGGAGAAGGGCTCGGGCCTGCTGCAGCCGCCATGGAGGATGACAGCCACCGTGGCGTCATTCGCAAGCACGCGGGGAACGGCGAGCACCTGGTCCTCTCCACCGCCACGGGCATCCATTGCCTCAGCGAGGAGGCCCAGGGGGCGCAGGACCGCCTCGCCAAGCGCCAGGCCCGTCTTGCCGCTGCTGCACCTGGCGGCACAGGCTCGGGTGAGGCTAAGCCGTTGGATGGGTAACAACCTCAGAATATGCACGTTCAATTGTAGCAGTTGGTCTGGAGTCCGTAAGTTCATGGTTTCCAAGGAGGCCAAGGAAATCCAGATTATCTGTTGCCAGGAGACGCGCATTCGGGAATATGATCTGGTCAAAGAAACGGAGTGGTGTGCTAACAGGGGATGGTTAGCAATTTTGTCGCCAGCTGTTTTGAGTACCAAGGGTTTTCCGTGTCAGGGTACTGGAGTACTAGTACGTTCTGGCCTAGATCTTGGAATCACCAAGCTACCTCTTCCTGAAGGTTTCCAGAAGTCTCGGGCTACTGTCGTCAGCATTGAGGCTCCAGGTCACCAACCTTTCTGTTTAGGATCGCTGTATCTGGCCGGCTCCGTTGGCTTGAATGAGGAGAACCTCACAGTGCTGACCAGTGTTGTGCAGGCCGCCGCCGACCACCTTTTGCCGCTCTTGCTAGCAGGAGATTTCAACGCGTGCCCGTCCAAAGTGATCGAAACGGAGTTCCCGACCAGGGCTGGGGTCCAGGCGATCGTTCCAGACACGCACACATTGCACACTAAGAAGTCAAAGACAATTATAGATTATTTCATGGGGTCGTACTGTTTCGAGCACTTCTTGAAGCAGCCCAAAGTTCTAGTTGACTACCCGAGTAGTCCACATAGGCCAGTCGTGTTGGATATGGTGATTGGGGCCCCATATCTCATTCCCGTCCTGGAGCAGCCTCAGTTCATCCCAGTGGTCGCCCCTGTGGGTCCTCGCAACATGGTCCCACCGTGGTCTCGAAGTCTTGGGGCTCTGGATTGTCTGGAGGGACTTCTTGAGGAACGCGATCAATATGCCGTGTTTGGGGACACGGGGCAGTGCTTTCCTCTTCAGCCAGTTTCGCTCGATGCCTTAGTTGCTGCCGTGGACGCGGCGTATGGCTACCTAGTGGACGACATGTCCACCACGCTCAGTATCGTTACCGACACGCCGCTCAAAAGTAAGAGGCGCCGAGCTCAGGTGCCAACGATAAGATGGATACCCGCCAAGGCTGTCGAGGCCAAGGATAGGAGGAGTTGGAGGAATGCAGCAGCTACTTTTAGATGGTTAAGGAACAAAGTTACCAACATCAGGAGGGGAGTGGAGGAACAGGACCTCGAGGAGCTCCACCAGGCTCAGCTCGACCTCGCCTCACCTCCTGCTGATTTGGAAGTAGTCGCAGAGTTTGAAGCTTTAAGAACCAGTGTACGCACGTGTATTCAGGCTACCCTTTTGGATGCCACCCACAGTGAGCCCAACTTCGAGCTCATCGCCACCGTTTTCGAAGATCTGGACTCGGAGATTTCAAAAGCTTTGGACCGTGAAATCGCCAGGGACCGCTCCGACGACCGTCAATCCTGGAAACTTTGGGCCACAGAAGCCATGGGGAAAGGTGTTGGGTGGGCCCACAGATGGAGTAGTAGACTGACGGCTTGGCAGCCCTCAAGAGTCTGGAGTTCTGCTAAAGCCCGCTGGTCTGGTCGTCCGATCGATATGTTGGAGGCGGAACAGCAACGTTTAAGTAAGCTGTGGCGAGCTCGACCTGAGGAGCCTGCCCTTCTTCAAGCCGAATTGCGAGGTGAAGACCTTGCAGACATTTCAGCAGATCAGTTGCGCGCAGCCAGCCGCAAATTCAGTAGTACCACTGCTAGGACCTGGGACGGGATCCACCCTAGACACTTCAGCCTCCTCGAGGACGCCCAGCTGGCTATTGTGTGTAGGCTCCTTAGGTCCATCGAGAGGATAGGGGCCTTTCCGACGCAGATACGAGCCATCGTGACGGTTCTGATCGAAAAGCACAAACCAGGTCCTAACCCAGGTCCTAGCTACAGGGGTATAGGTATGATGCCTGGTCTTTGGAGAGTTTGGGGCAAGCATCGTCAGCTCGAGTTTCGTGCCTGGGAACGCGCTCACCCTCGTAGATATCTAGCTCATCAAGCTGGCAAAGGTGTTTTGGAAGTTGTTTTCGAACAAGCAATGCAAGCAGAAGGGCAATTCTTGGGAGATAAGAAAGTTTTCTCAGCTGCTGTTCTTTGGGATTTATCCAATTACTATGAATATGTGGATAGGGGACTCTGGAGGGACAGAGCTCAGGATACCAATTTCTCGGATTCCCTGGTAGTCATTATTTGCAACCAGTACCAGGCGCCCAGGACAGTAGCCACGAGATCCTCAGCCCTACCTGCAGGTTGCCCAGAGAGAGGTATAGCTGCAGGCTGCTGGGCCGCCACTTTGTTGTACAGCAGTACTGCCTGCCGCCCATCGACATCTGGGTGGCTCAGAACCCCAGAGTGCAGCCTACCATTTTCATTGACGATTTCCTGCTTGCCAGCCACAACAGCAAGCCGAACAAACTGATAGCAGATCTAGTCACGGCCTCAGCCAGTATGCATCAGTCGGTCGTTGTCGATCTTAAGTGTGATATCGCTAAGCACAAGGCTGCTGTTGTGGCTTCGACGCCGATGATCAAGGCCGATCGTGCGGCCAAGCTCGGCCAGTGGGCTGGCCCCCAGGCTGGTCTGGCCGAGACGGCAGCCACTAACTTAGGAGTCGACTTCACTGCAGGAGCCAGACTAAGGAGCAAGGGAAGGAAAGCTTTAAAAGGAAGAGCCTGCAAGTTGAAGTTGAGACTTCGTCGCCTGCGCGCCCTTCGTGCTGCTGGAGCGGACACTCGTAAGGTTTGGAATACGGGACTCCAGCAAGCTGGTTATTTTGGGACTGAAGTTCTTGGGATGTCTGTGCAGGAGCTCCAGGAGGCTCAATCGCTGTTCTTGAAGGCTGCTGGGCCCAAGTGTGCTACGCGTTCTCGGGCCTTGTCGCTCGCTATCCTTGAGGACCCTACCTGGAGATCCGCCCTGGGGCCATGCATGTACTGGAGCATCATAGTCTTCCGAGCCGCCCAAGACCCTGGGAAATCAGAATTCACCCTGCCCGAACTCCGACAAATGGCGGCCAATATCCTGGACAAGCCACCCTCGGGATGGGGAAACATACGAGGTCCTCTTGGGGCGGTGTATTTAAGTCTACCTAGAGTTGGCTGGTCATGGACCAGCCCCATGGAGTTCATGAGTGGGGAGGGCGAGGTCTACCCGCTCACCACCAGTTCGCCAGCGCTCATTCGTCAGATGCTGGAGGCAGCTTGGCACGACAGGCAGGCGGAGCAGGCGGCCATCAAGATAGGAGTGCCAGCAATTGATTTGTCACACGCCAAAGCAGCAGTTGCGGATAAAAGATTATCTAAGCAAGATCGAAGTGTTCTCGTCTCGTACCTGACCCAGTCGATATGGACCAAGTGTAGACTCAAGGAAGCAGGTTACGACATTGACACCACGTGCATATGCGGGGCCCCCCAGGACCACATATTCCACCGCCTTCTGGAGTGCCCCAATTGTGCTCAGCTAAGGGAGGAGTTTCTTGAGGAAGGAGATGTGGAAGCCCTGAAGGACCCAGCAGCCTTTGCCGCGTGTGCGGGTTTTCCCGAGCCGCCCCCTTTCAAGGTCCCGCGGCCCGTAGGTTTAGGTTTGAATGAAGCTGTGTTTTGGTCCCGTGACGGCCGTCAACCCGAGGAAGTTTTCGTTGGCGAGGTTTACGTCGACGGCAGCGTAGCCAAAATGGGCCACGCTTGGTTTCACGCCCCAGGCTGGGCTATGGTTAAATGCGACCCCCATGGGGAAATAGAAGCCTACCTGTGTGGGCCAGTAGGCAGCGCGCTACCACCCACCTCCCCAGCGGCAGAATTCCTAGCGTACCTAGCCAGCAGCCAGTTCAGAGGAGTAACTAAGATCTACTCCGACTTTAAGGGAGTCGTGGCCTTCCACAATTCGGGACCCCCTGCCAGTAGGAAGAATATATATGACGGGATTGGTGCTATGGCCAAGCTTGGAGAAGCCAGCCGCGACGGGGGTTTCGAAGTAGCCAAGGTCAAAGCCCATCAAGATGTAGATTCCCTCGAGCGCTACTCTGAAGAGTGGCGCCACGCCTTGGGAAACGATGCAGCCGACAGAGTCGCCAAATTAGCTGCCTCTCGCCTCCCCCAGCCCTCGGCCAATGAGCGTGACGCCCAGCAGCTGCTCGACCAGCGAGTTCGAAGGTTCCTTCGGTTTGTGCCGAAGGCCCTTGTGCTGTGGCCTCCAATTGCGCCGAGGGTTGGGGGAAAGGCCCTGGAGGGGCCTGTGAAGGCCACCAACCTCGTTGTCGGAGCTGGCTCAATCGCGGAAGTGTGGCACGGCGGAGCTAACTCAGGGGGCTCCTCGGGCTCTGGAGCTGCGGCGGCTCCTCCCCCTCCCCGCCCCCTTCGGGCCGCCCGTGCTCGCGTCGGGCACGTCTGGGCGTGGCAGAAGAATCGTTGGCTCTGCTGCGCATGCCACTCGCGTTGCCGCTCAGACAAAGTAAAGGTTTCACGCGATAAGGAAAGATGCCCAGGCAATGCTGCTAGACTAGCTAAGCTAGGCATGCAGCCCAATGGACACAAGCTTTTTGTTTACGACAGTTTTGTTGACGAGAGTTTTATTGTTGCATGTCACCTGTGTGGCAGTTATTCAGAGTGTACTGTGAAGAGCCTCCAGAAGAGCTGTCTCAGGAAATTCAAGTCACACTTTTCAGAAGGCGCCCATGCGCGCCTCCAGGAGGGGAGACATCCACGGGCCTCTAAGACGAGCCCCATTGTCTTCATGCCTCCGATTTCAATCGATGCGGTTGCCACCCAGGCAGCCCAGGCGCTCGAGTCGCAGTAAGCGAAGTCGAACCCCTTCCGAAGCCGTGCGATGGTCCTCCTCCTCCTCCTCCGCCTCCTCGCCCAAGGCCACCCTGCGATGCAAGCCCCTCCTGGGAACAATCGTTTCCCGAGGAGCGCCCAGCCGTGGACCAGGCGGCCCCCGTCCCCACCCCGGCCGATGATGGCGAAGGGCAGGACGGGGAGTCCTCGTCCTCAATCGGCCGACTATGGGGGACGAGGACTCATGATGATGGTAATGATGGTGATGGTGGTGGTGATGATGATGTTGTTGCTGTTGTTGGTGCCGATGATGGATGTGGTGGTGATGATGGTGGTGAAGCTGATGATGATGTTATTATTGGTGGTGGTGGTTGCGGAGGTGGTGATGGTGATGAGGATGGTGGTGGTGGTGATGACAATAGGTGGTGGTAATGATGATGGTGGTGATGGTGTTGTTGCTGTTGATGGCGATGACGGTGTTGATGATGATGATGATGATGGTTGTGGTGGCGATGCTGATGGCAATGCTGATGATGGTGATGGTGATGATGATGGTGTAACTGGTGATGATGATCCTGCTGCGGATGCTGATGATGATGGTCGTGGTTGTGGTAATGATGATGATGCTGATGGTGATGATGATGATGCGTATGCTGATGCCGACGCTGGTGCCGATGATGATGATGATGGCCCTGATGCCCATACTGGTGATGATGGTAATGTTGCCGATGATGATGGTTATTATGATGGTTGTGGTGGTGATGATGTTATTGATGATGGTGGTGGTGATGGCGGTCATGATGAGGCCGATTGTTTCATTCTGCGCCTTGGGCCCCTATGTGTGTCTTATCGTTGCGAGGCTGCTCCTGCGAAACTTCTGCGAGGAATCCAGATTCATCACTCTGAAATACAATGACATCAATGAGAGGCGGCGTGCGGTGTTTTGGACCGAGACGACCAGCGAAGAACGCAGGGCGAGGGGGCCGCACCAAAGGCCGACAGTGGCCCACGGTTGGCCCCGCCGACCGACCCGAGAGGCACGGCCGACTGGAGGAAACGAATTTAGTGCCTCGTGCGTTTCAACATCGAGCGCAACCTTTCACTACCCATTAAAGTGTTCCAGCGAGAGCTGCCCCGCCTGACCCCAAGAGAAATCAAAGGAGCCTCGGGAGTCGCTGGTTCCCAGCGCATTCGAGGAAGAGGAGGACGAGGCGAGGATCGAGGACGAGGTCGGGGGAGGAGAGGGGAAAGGGCAAATCTCAGACGAAACACTCTGCGCAACGGCGGGGCTGCCGACAGGCAAAGCAGCAAGATCGCCTGCAACGGCCGCAGGCTCACGTTCACCATCAGGTACATCAGGCCCACGCGCAGGCCCGTCAGCGTCTGGTACTCTAGCTTGTCGGGCACTCAGCCGACCAGCTGCACGACGTACTCCTGGAGCTCCCTCTCCATGAACGACGCTGGGGCCTTCCCCTGCTTGCGCTCCATCCCCGCCTGAACGCAGCACGCAATCACCGTCTGGCGCCAACGCTCGTCTCGCAGCACAAAGGTGATCCGCTTCTTGTCCTTGTCGTACGTCTTGTCCAGACGGCACATCCGTATCATCTCCATATTGTCCTCTACGCCGTGCGCGTCGAGCCACTCCATCATGTCCACGATCCCCTTCGCGTTCTGGGCGCCCACTGCGTCTCCTCTTTCTCGAAGTCCCGCCAGCAAGCCCGCGAACGCCCAGATGTAGGGGGCTCCGTGCAGGTGACCCCTCCCGTCGCGCTTCACAGCCTCCGCGTAGTTGTGGGCCTGCTCCGCCATCTTCAGCGCCTCCGCCCCATCCACAGGGCAGAGAAAAGTGTCGAATAGGCATCCTCCGAGTTCTCGCATCCCCTGCGCCACCTTCAGGAGCTGCTTGACCATCACGAGCAGGAGCCGACGTAGCCCTTGATCGCTGACGCCTTTGAGCTTCTTGTCCGTGCTGCCTCCTTCCGTGTGTGACTTGACGCGGCGTGGCTCTTGGCCTCCATCCTTCTTGTCGCCCGCGGCCGCCAGCAGCGCGGGCGTGGCGAAGACGATGGCGCTCCACAAGGCGCGACGCGGGGCGAGGCAAGTGTTCTTCTCGAGCGCGTGTGTAATACTCAGGAAAATTGTCAAACTCGAGCCCACACATTTTACAAATAATCTCAGAGGGGACCTGTAACTCCCATGCCCGGTGGCCCCCTCGAGGCCGACATCTCCCAAGACTCCAAGACGCTTGAACGCGCTGTTTTTTCGCTATCTTTTGAAGCAAACAGACTTCTTCAGTTCAGGCACTGGTTCGCAATCGCGCAGCATCTAAGCGGGCACATAACGCCGTGGGACCCGCCACGGGCCTTCGTCATGTGCGCGACCAGCTTCTTCAAGGAATCAAAACACAGGCCGCAAACGGCGCCCTGCGAGTCGGTCAGGTCGCACACGAACTCCCCCTCAGGCTCCTCCGTCTCCTTGGCTCTGGGTGCAAGCTTTTCCCATATCTGATCTTCCCTCATGAGTGACACCTCCAGCAGCTCCGCATCAACTTTCAAAAAAAGCTTGGTTCACCTCCTCGCAGCTCCATAACTCTTGCCAAGCCCTGCCGACCAGCGCCCATTCTTCGAAGAAATCCTCCGTGCCGCTGATGCCCTCCAACAGCATGAGGTCGCGGGTAAACTGCCTGGCGAACGAGCTGGTGCTCACCGTCAGCTTCCCTTCGATGTCGATCGGCGAGGGCTCGTCCTCCAGGTGTCCCCAGAGAGCTGCAATCACCTGTTGATGAGCCAGAGGATGCCGCACCATATCTTGTAGCCAGCGTATCCTTTGCATTGCCAGAGCCGCCTTTGAGGGCACAACTCCCCAACGCTTCATGAGTTGCTTGTTCGTGAGAACTTTGACGTGTGTGTCGTGTGCCACCTGCGACCCACCTTCCATCACTCTCAACTTCTTGCAAATCTGAACATCCAGACGATGAAGTTCCGACTCGCTGAGTACGTAGCTGCACATGCCAGAGAGAGCAGCCCCCACTACCTTGCCCAGAAAGAGCTGTCGTCGTAATTTGCGAGGACTCTTGGCGAGCCAAAATCTGCCCATGTCAGCACATCCTTTTTTTTAAAGCGTCAATGCGGTAGCCGGCCTCGACACTGGCGTTGTCGTTCCACACGTATCTTCCACCAAGATGCCGTGCATGTGGTAGTATCTTTCCAGACCCAGGCTTGAGTAGTGCTCTGAACTTCAAATTGTCAGAAGGTTTGAGCTCAGAGACCATCTCGCGCTTCTTCATGTTCTGTTTGAAGCCCCCCTTCTCGAGCTCCGTGATTAGCAACGTCTGGCGTTCCTCGATGGTTGTGCGTGCGTCGGTAGCCAATCCAGACAGGATGACGTGGCGTTTCTTCAAATCGTCAGCGAACTGCACCACGGCACATGGGATAGGTAGCTCCAGTATAGGTGTCTTGAATAGAAGGAGGTCGTCCTGAGCAGCACACTCAGCAGGCCATTGTTGTACGGGTCTTCGAAATGCCACGGCGAACTCCTTGGGCGCCTCACAGGTCCCCATGAGACCTCCGCGTCCGAGGGCGAAATGCAACGCCTCGCCACGCGCCTCTACCTCCACGATGTGATGATGAATCCTGTCGTGCAGCAGGGCCCAGTCCACCGGCTCCGCCAGCTCCTCAACTGCCTCATCCAGCCACTCGAGTGGCGTGCAAGCGAAAGCGTTCGACATATCCAGCACTTCCGAGACGCTGCGAAGGCCTTTCTGTCTGAGAGCATACCCCACACAACGAGTGACCATCATCGCGTCCTCTCGCCTGCGGTGCGCCAAGTAGCCGTGACAAGTCGGATCGAAGTTCAACTCGCACTCTCGGCAGCTCGGCGTCCGAAGGAGACCGCCGAAGAAAAACTTCCAGAAGGTGCAGACCAAGTGAATGAGCCGCTTGCCGTCCAGACCTCTGAGTCCGTTATGTTTGTCCAGGGCGAAGCCAAACGACCAGTGCGCAGCTGCAGGTGCACGTTCAGCTCGACGTACATGAAGTAAGACCTCCTGCACCTCCGAGCGGCAGCTGCGACAAGACTGCGCTACCTCCTCGATCGGTGGTTGTCCCAGACCACGTGGTGGTCTCCTCACTGTAGTGCAATGTCCAGGTTCAATACAGCAAAGTAAAAGCTCGACTGGAATACTCCACTGCACCGATCCTCTGCGCTTCCCACTCTTTCGCATAGCCCAGATCGTACGACGAAGATCGCGTTCAGCTAAATCTTCAAGGTAAGCACTCCTTTCCATGAGACAAGCGGCTGTGGCACCACGACGGGCGAGAAGCTCAGCTCGATCAACGCGTACTGCTGGCATGCCTCCCTCCGCGCTCGGCTTCGCCATGTGTGCCTCGACCGCCGTGGCCGACGGTCGTGGCTCGGGCGTCGTAAGATACTGCCGTCGCTCGGTAGCCAGAGCTCGTTATGCCAACAAATGTGCTATCCGATGCATCTCATATGTGTGCCCCAACTTCTCAGCCTCCGCCAGGTCCGTCTCAAGTGACATGCGTCGTTCAGCCCGTCGCCTGCGCGCCCATTGTCTGAGCTGCTTGGTGAGCCTCTTGATGGGTTCCACCTGCTCGTCGTCACCAGTTGAGTCGGACCCGCGAGAGCCCATTCCAGCCACTCGTGCTCGTTCCTCCGCGCGAAGCGCCACTAGCCGCCGCCTCTCAACTTGCAAACGTGCATCTGCGGTATTGTGTCGTTATTTCGGGTGCTTTCGGAAGTGTGCCTGACCAGCTTCCTACATCAGTTGCATCGCCAGACTCCAGTGCTCATCAACTCGCCGATCTTCTCTGAGAAATATGAACTCATTCTCACGCTGGGAAAATAGTTCCAACTGCAGTAAGAATTGATCGCGACCCTTTCCCGTTTGAAGTGCTTCCGATAGCTTCTGGAGGTCCCAGGTCATGAGCTTTGTTTTTGAATCAGTGGCTCCATCTTGCATTTCCAAAATGTAATCGATCACAAGCAGAAGCGGTACATGATCACGTGGGCGCCGATCAGGGATGACTTGAAGCCGTCTCCCATGAAAGTAGCTCACCTTGCAATCAAGGACGTTCCCCATAGCAGCCACTGGGATGAACCAGTGGTCAATCGTAGAGCTCGCCCCCTTGGAACCGAAGAACGTGGGACCGCCCTCGGAATGCCAAGTGCTAGGCCAACACAAGTTGCGAGTGAGGCACAGCTGCTCCGCGAGGTCGCCCGACATGTTCTGCTTCGCTCTGTTATATTATCCAGCATGTTCCCCGGCCACAGGAACCCCATCACTTCGTTCACCAAAGCCGCTGTTCACATCCATGCCCACCACTAAGAGAGAGCGGGCCCGCGTACCTTCCACTATGTTGTCGACCCACTGGTGCGTCGCCTTCACCGCCCCCTCGTACACCGAAATCTTCTTGCCCGTGGCGCCAGTGGGAGGTGGATATCCGACGACCAGGGTCACGTCGAACTTGCCGCTCTTCACCCGCACCGCTCCAGCTCTGCCTTGAATAGACTTGGGCGGAATGAAGGTATCCACCACATCTTTGAGTCTGAACTGTCTGCCCAGTATGATCGTGCAACCTGCAGACCGATTCGTCCACGCTGAAGCCGCCCAGCCAAAATGAATCGCAGAGTACCCGCCGCCCAGCTTCTCAACCTGATACTGTCGGCCTGACCAGCTTCGGATGCGAGTGCCAGGAAGCAAGACGGCATCAGCTCCGAGCTCGTGTGCCACCTCGCGGCACCTGCCCACGGCTATCAGCGACAGCGGGCTGTAAAGAAATAGTCGAAGAGGTCCCAGCACGCGCATTCTCCAGCCATGCGCCGCGAACCCTCGAGACGGCTGCGCTCAACTGCTGGGCGCCTCGAGGGAGAGGGTTGCGTCCGAAAAAGGAATGTCGGACGAGCGCTGCCCTGTCGCGCTGCTGGGTTGCGGTCTGAGCCCCAGCTGCGCTTGATGATGCTAATGATAATGATGATGATGGTGGTGTTCCTGGCGACGTTGATGATGACAATGACAATGGTTGCGGTGGTGGTTATGATGATGTCGATGCTGGTGCTGACGTTATGGCGACAATGATGACGGCAATTATGATGATGATACTGAGTGTGTTGATGCTGAGGCTGATGCTGCTAATGCGAACGAAGACGGTGATGATGATGTGATGATGGTGCTGTTGATAGTGGTTGTGATGTTGGTGATGTTCATGCTGATGGTGATTGCGATGATGAAGATGATGCTGATGACGGTGACCGTGACGTTGACGATGGTAATGATGAAGCTGATGCTGACGCTGCTGATGGTAAACATGTTTGTGGTGGTGATGATGATGATACTGATGCTGACGCTGCTGATGATGACGATAATGGTGCAGTTGGTGGTGATGATGATGACGATGATCGGGGCCGAGCTCGGGTCGAGCGTCGCGCGCGTCGAATTAGCGGACCGAGCGAGAAGGCGGCCCAACTACCCAGACGAGCATCGCGGCCAGGGCGTCCTCTCGGCGCCTCAGTGGAGGCGACAACATACATGACAGTCGAACGCGAACATGTCACGCGAACAATAGCCATGCCAGAGCCTCATCACCAACGACGAAGGCACGATGGACAGGAATCCTGACATTAAGGTCGTCGGGGCAGAAAACTCCGCAAACAACGATTCAAACGACCACGCTTGTTCGGCTCTTGAGGAAGTTGGGTTGGATCGCAAGGTAACAGCAGGCCTCCACGAGCCGAGCCTCGCGCAGAGGATCCGCACGCCGTGCGCGCCACGAACTCGCCTGCGACCCTCGGCCCATGCCCCCTGCGCGCCTCAGGCGGCACGAGGCCAGACCCGGCGAGAGGCGCAGTAGGTGGGGTCGTACTCGTCGCCCCAGCCTGCCCCCCCGAGACCTCTCGGGACGGGGCGCCGCACTCCCGACTGCGGCCTGGCTGCGGCCGACGGGGCGCGAGAGCTCCCGGGAACCAGCCCACCGCAGGCGGTGGGAGCCCAGCCGAACCCCCCGCTCGCCATCGCTCGGACGTCCATTCCCCGTGTTTTTTTGTTCGGTTTCGTGCGTGGCTTTTTCGCCAAATGATCAACGATGCTCCTCGATGGTCCTCGCCGAAGGAAAAATGCACTCGCCCGAGCGATGCCAAGCGGCCCACAGGGGCCTCCCGCGCCAGAGCTCCGGGGACCCCGAAGGCCGCGGAAAACGCACGAGGCCGCACGGCACGAGCAGCGGGAGCAGGGCGCGGGGCGCCTCTGTCCGCGTGACGGCGCGAAGGCTCCAGGGACCTTAGTGGGCCCTGGAAACGACAAAGCCGTTTTTGTTACCGGTTCCGTTCTGCCGTGTTTTTGCCGGTTCCGACGCCGTTTGTTTACCGGTTCCGTCGCCGTTTTTTGACTGGTTCCGGCTCCGGTTCCAATCCTGGAACCGTTTTTTTGCCGTTTCTGGTCGCCGTTTTTTTGCCGTTTCCATTTTCAAGGGACATTTCTTTGGAAACGGTGAAAAAACGGCCCTGCCGTTTCCGGGGTCCACGAAGCCAGGGACATCCGCGCCGGCCCCACCCGAGCCAGGATCCACTGCCAGAGCCGTCGGCCGGGCATGCCCTCCTACAGGCGGATTTTGGACGAAGAACTCACAAAATATCCACGAAACCAATACACCCTAAAATGCTACAACATATTTTCAAAACATCGTGCCCGGACTATTTTTTACTATTTCTGAGGATTCCTCCTGTAGAGGGACACGCCCGACTTAACCAGAGCTCCAGACGCGGATCCAGCCGACGGCTCGGAGGACCAGGAAGGCACAGAAGCCGCCAGCGCCGCTCCAGTCATCAGCGCTGCGGCAGCCACCACCGCCTGGGGGGCGGTGGACATGGCTGGACTGCATATTCCGACGGCTCGATGGCCTCGGCGAATCGCACTCGCACTCGCTTTCGAGGAGGCCCCTGGGCAGCCCGGGACGGAGCAAAACCGACGGGGGCACCCTCCCCCGCGCCTGGGCCCGCCGAACACCGGCTCGACATGCTGGCATCCTGGGACGCCGCCGGAGGCCACCCCCAGCGGGCCCCCAGAACTGGGGCCAGCTTCCGCCTCCGGGAACTCCCTGGGGACCAAAAACCGGGTGGTGATCTTGGGGCCGCTCGGGGGGCTGCTGGGGCGGCCGCGGGGCGCGGAGGGGGAGGAGGAGGAAGCGCAGAGGCCCGCTCGACCACACCACCCCGAGCCGCCTGGGCCCGCGCCTTGAGCCCCCTCCCCCTGCACGCCTGGCGGAGCACGCGCGCGCGACCACCCCACCTGCGGCCTTCGCTGCCGCACCATGGCGCAACGCCACCACGAGGCGCCGAAACACAGGACATGAGCAGAGGCTGCCGTCACGCAGGGCCGACCCCGGCGTCGCCCCGGCCGGCGCGTCCGCCGCCAGCGTGCACGCGGCGACTGCGGATCGCGATCCGGCGCCGAGGCCCCCGACGTCAGGCCGCCGCGCGCCGCTGCCAAAGCGGCAGACCGTCGGACGAAGGCGTGGAGGGCAGACCTCGGGGTCCACCCTCTGCTGGTCCGTGAGGCAGCGGAGCCCCAATCCCAGGCGAGCGAGCGCGTCCGCCCGGTCGTTGCCATGCCGATGCTGGTCGCTGCCGCTCTGGTACCCACGGGCGTGAACAGTGCGAACGTCCGAGGAGAGGCCGCCGTGGTCATCCAACTTGGCCCACAGCTGCACCCACAGATCGCGATTCGAGCGTCTGGGGCAGTGCGCCCACGCGCGCCCGCGCGCCAGGCCGAGGGTAACCTCCAGATGATCCGCGTGGATGCAATGATTCGGAACGGCCACCAGCAGAACCTGACAGACCGCCCAGATTTCGACCCTGGGCGAAGATTGGACCAGTCCAGGCAGCGCGCCGTAGTAGACGCTGACGGCCTGGAAGTTCTCGAGGATAACGAAGCCCCCGCCCGCTCTCGCAGCCTGCGGGCGGCTCCAATGCTTCAGGCAGGAGCCATCGGCGTAGATGAGGCCTGTGACAACGAAGCCCAGGACGGCCAGCAGCGCGTGCCAGCGGCCGCTGTCGTCGCGGGGAGGGACCATCATCATCATCATCATCATCATCATCATCATCATCATCATCATCATCATCATCATCATCATCATCAGCATCATCATCATCATCATCAACATCACCATCACCATCACCATCACCATCATCATCATCATCATCATCATCATCATCATCATCGCGTCAGCATCAGCATCAGCAGCAGCATCATCAGCAGCAGCATCATCATCATCATCATCATCATCACATCATCATCATCACCGTCATCATCATCATCATCATCATCATCATCATCATCATCATCATCATCATCATCATCATCATCATCATCATCATCACTGCTTCCAGCAACAGCAGCATCATCACCATGGTTGTGGTGGTGAATATGATGATGCTGATGTTGATGTTGGTACTGCTGGTGATAAAGACGATGACGATGATGATGTTGATGATGGTGATGATGCTGATGATTGCGGTGGTGATGATCACGATGATGATTATGATGCTGCTGATGCTGATGCTGATGATGACGATGACAATGCTGCTGATGATGATACTGGAGGTGATGATGATAATGCTGAGCCGGATGCTGATGATGATGATGGTGATGCTGATGATGATGCTGATGATGATGCTGATGACGATGACGACGGCGATGGCGATGATGCTGATGATGATGATGATGACGATGGCGATGATGACGATGAAAATGCTGATGGCGATGACGCTGAGTTTGATGATGATCGCGATGATGATGATTACGATGGCGATGACGATGGTGACGATGATGACGACGATGATGATGATGATGATGATGATGATGATGATGATGATGATGATGATGATGCAGATGAAGACGGGCAAGGCGAGAGGTTCATCATGGGCTCCCTCTGAAACCACGAGTCTTAAGTAACGGGATCGCGGTGCGATTCCGTCAACTCGCGGGGTCGCTGTCTTGATCCTCCCGGAGGAGATCTCCCCCCTTTGCGCCCGCGCCTTCCCAAATAGTGGCATCGGGAATGCTGCGCTCTTGCTGCATCGTGCGCCACTGCGGCTCCGCATCCTCATCCTCCCACTCCTCCTTCTCCCCACTCCTCTGGAGGCTCCAGAGTCTCCATCAGGTCCCAAAAGAGCCAAATACACTCACAAACCTCGACCCTCAATCCTTCGACCTCCTTCCCCTCCAACATCGGTCCTCCTTCATGTCCATACTCAACCTCCTCCTCCTCCTCCTCCTCCGACTCCTCTTCTTCCTTTCCATTATTCTCCCACCTCCCTCCCCCCTGCCCCGTTTCATTATCCTGCGACTCCTTCTTCTCCTCGTGGGCTCCCTTGTCCACCGCCTCCTAACCCACTTCCTTCTTCTTTCCCTTCGCATCTTCCGTATCCTGTTAGCGGCTGTGCCACACGCGCCATACCGCGTGGATTTGCACTGCGAGCTGCGACCTCTCCCTCCTCGCGTACCCGACATCATCCTCTTCTCCTCACGCTTGGGCTGCCGATCCGCCTCCTCCTCCTCATCCTGCTCATCCCACTGCCCCTCCCCTCCTCCTCCATTCCATTCGACCCTTGACCTCGCCTGTGCCTTCATCCGCCCTGCCCCCCCCCTGTCTTACGATTCCTGCACCTTCCTCGTGGACCTGGGTCCGGCTTGCCCCTGAAGGGCTCCCTCCCAACTGGCAGTGATCTGCTCATCAAATCCTCCTCCTCATCATATCTTTCATCTCCACATCCTCATCCTCCATCTTGCTGCTCGCCCAACTGTTCCTCCGTTTTCCCCTCATTCTCCTCCATCCCTCTTTATCCTGCCCCTCCACATCAGAATCATCAAAATCATCATCCCCCCTCTGCGCCTCCTCCTCCTCCTCCTCCTCCTCCTCCTCCTCCTCCTCCTCCTCCTCCTCCTCCTCCTCCTCCCCCCTCACCTCTCCCTCGCACGTATCCCCAGGGCTCCGACGACGCGACTCTTTATGCCGCACGGGCACTCAGAGCTCTCGACCCCTTCCCAAAGGGGGCTGCCGTTTCATCCCATTGGCTTTCGTGGACATCCCCTGGGGCCCCAGCCATCAAAAAAACCCAGGATGAGGAGTAACTGGCCCCCTTCGATATATCCATGACGCCAGAGGCCTGGGTCCTCCCACGCAAGATCGGCCCCCTTGGCCCTTGGCCCGTCCTTGGGGTACGCCTCGACTCACATTGTTGTTTTTGAGGCGGAGCCACGACGAGGAGGCGCAAAGAACAGGCACGACAAGGCAGAGCAGCAAAAGAAGTGCAGGAGGGCTGGAACAGATGGAAGTTGAGAGTTTCTGCAAACATGGAAGGAATGGCCCAAGGTGAAACGAATCCGACACAGTTGGCACGAGGTCGCAAGGGCTGGAACAAATGTATCGGGAAACTGGCCAGTTCTGGAAGGGTGGGAGGGTTGGCCTTGGCCACCGTTCCCAGCTCCCCTGCGACTGCACCCTCGGACAAAATGTCGGTCCTCGATTTTCTCGATCTGCCTTCGGTCTTGCTTTTCATGCATGCGTGTTGATTGGCCCGTTCCCTTTCCCCTGCCCATATTCTTTGGTCCCTGCCCCGGCTCCGCGGATACTTTCAGGCTTGTTCCCAGATCCGCAGGTTCTCGTGGTTCCACAATTGTCCGTTCGAGGACGTCCGCTGGCCACGAGTAGCCAATGCGCCGCCTGGCGCACAACAGAGCCGCCGGGAACGGGCCATAATGGATCGTTTCGCCATATTGCCACTGCACATCTGACCTGCACGGCTTGCTCCTCTCCCTCGGCGGCGAACCGAGGGGGGAAGTGAAACGAGGCAGGCCTTCTCAGAAGGCGGCGGGGCTTCGGGGTAGGCAGCCCGAGGCATCCTGGGCTTTCGGACACACCCCGCCCCCTCTGCCTTGCCCGCTGGACACGCGCGGCCGACTCTCTCGCTTCCTCTCCCTCTCTCTCGATCTGACGGTGCCCCGCGGGTCCATCAAGCGGGAGGCTGGCCGGCGGCGGCCTGAGCCGTCCAGTGGGCGCCGGCCGCGTCGCCGCAGCCGTCCAGCTTGGGGGAGCTCGCCGTGGCCTGCACCGCCGCTGCCGCCCCGGGAGGAGAGGCGCCAGGACGACCACGATGTCATCGGCGGCGTCGTCGACATCGGCGTCCTCGTCCGACGTCGTCGCGGCCGTCGGCGCCGTCAGCGGCGTTCACGTTCGGCGTCGCCGTCGTCGACGCCTTCGGCGGCGTCCTCGTCGTCGTGGTCGTGGGCGGCCTCGTCCGATGTCGCCAGCGTTGTCTCGTCGTCGGCTTCGTCAGCGTCGGCGTCGTCGGCGTCGGCATCGTGGCCTCCGAGCGTCGAGGGGGGGCGTACAGCGCTCGGCGCCGCGCCTGTTTCGGCCGCCCTGCAGCGCCGTGCCGCGCTCGACCAGCGGGGAGGGGAGAGGGGGGGGGTTCAGGCAGAGTAGGAGGAAGGGGGGGGGCAGGCAGAGTAGGAGGAAGGGGGAGGGGAGAGGGGGGGGGCAGGCAGAGTAGGAGGAAGGGGGGGGTGGAGAAGGGGGAGGGGCCCCCTCCACCGTTCTGCCTCTTCCCCCTTCCTCCACCTCCTCCTCCTCCTCCTCCTCCTCCTCCTCCTCCTCCTCCACCTCCTCTTTTTGAAAGTTCCTTCATCTCTACTCCTCTTGCATCCTCCTCCTTTTCCGCCTCCTCCCTCCTTGTCCTCCTCCTCCCTCTCTCATCCTCATCCGCACTCTCCCTCCTGCTCCTCGGCCTCATCACTCACTCACTCACTCGTGCTCCTCGTGCTCCTCGTGCTCCTCGTGCTCCTCCTGCTCCTCCTGGTCCTCCTCCTCATCCTCCTCTTCTTCTGATTAGTATTACTATGGTTGTTATTATTCTGAGCATTCTTAGTCTCATTCTTACTCTGCCTCCTCCTCCGCCTCTTAGGCGTTGCACCAACTTTGGCATGATGAACCGCAGCGCCGTTGCGTCAATGCCGTCCGTTTCCTCCTCCTACGCCTCTTCTCTCCTGCTCGTCCGCGTTGCCCCTTCATCCTCATCCTCCTCATCCTTATCTCTCTGCTTCCTCCTCCCTCTTCTCCCGCTGCATTTCCTACCCTCTCCCCTCCCCATCTGTTCCTCCTAATCCACCTCAGCCGTCCGATCCTTTCCCTCGTCCTCCTCCTTCTCCTCAAGCTCCTCTGCGTCCCTCACCCGATACCCGATACCCCTCCAACTCACCCTAGTGCTTCTCTCCCTCAGTTTCCTCCTCTCCTCCTCCCTCCTGCCTCCTCCTCACCATCAGCATCTTCCCCTTGCTCCTCGTAATGTACTGGCTCATCCATCTCCCCCGGTTGCACCTGCGTCCGCACGTTGCTGATCTCCCTCCTACTCCTCCTCAATCAATAAACTACCACTTCCTGCTTATCGCATTCCTCCTCCTTGTCCTCCTCCTCCACCTCCTCCTCCTCGTCCTCCTCCTCCTCCTCCTCCTCCCTGCTCCCCCCTGCTCTTCCGCCGTATCATTATCATGTCGCCATTGTCGTCGACGTCCTCCTCCTCCTCCTCCTCCTCCTCCTTCTGCTCCTACCCGCCTGAACTTTGGAAAGGGAGAGGCAGTGGAGAGGAGAGGGGCGAAAGGGAGTGGCTGAGAGCAAACGGGAACGATTGGAGGGCAACAGGCTGGGATCGGATTTCGCCACGCGCCCCGCTCGTACCAGGCGCCGTGAGGCGGAGGACGAGGGGGGCGGCCCCCGCTGAGCCCCTCAGGCCGTGTTGTCCGTCCCCCAGCCCGCGGCCTTCATGGCCTTGCTGTCCCACTCCTTGTCCCTCGTGTTCTCCGCCTCGGTCAGCGTGCGCTCGGCGTAGTACTGCTTGTTGACGTTGCAGGTCTTGTACGCGCAGTCCATGCTCTTGCACTCCAGGCACCGGTCGTGCTTCTCCTTCGTCAGGCAGCACGTCACGTCCTTCTTCGTGCCCTGCGAGCCCGTGACCAGGCCGGCCTCGTTGCGCTCCGCGCACGGGTTCCCGTGATCCCGGGCGCACGCCTGGTAGCTGTAGGCCAGCGCCTCGTCACAGCCCGCGCACGGGTCCTGCTCGAACTCCATGGCGTGCATCTGCATGGCGAGCTGGGCCATCGTGTCGCCGACACGCGTGCCGGCCCCTGCCTGGCCGCCGAGCGCGGCGCGCGGCACGGCGAGCAGCAGCAGCGCCTGGAAGCCCTTCATTGCGACGTTCGCGGGAGGCCGTGGAGCGAGCGCAAGTGGCCAACTGGCCAAGCTGCCACGCTTGAGGCTGTCAGCACGGGCCAGGGAGGAGGCGGAGGTGGGCCAGCCCGGGGCGCAGGCGGGGCGGGGATGCGGCCCGTGAGGAGGCGAGGCAGCCGCTCGGCTCACTGGCGTCGGACTGTGAAAACACATGCGTACACACACCTACACACACTCTCGACTGCACAGGCGGCGTAGCGCTCGCCTGCCACAGGCGGCGTAGCACTGGGAGCACACACTCAAACACTCTCTGGACCGCCAAGAGGACATCAAGCCACCGCCAGAAGGACAGCCTGTCAAGCAGCACGACGTTCGAGAGCACCAGTGGGAGCTTGCAGTGTGGCGGCCAGGCCCCAGGAGAGGCCACTGGCCAGAGCCAGGAGCGTGGTCGCCATGGGGAAGGAGGGGCAGAGGAGAGACAGGCGGAACTCAGCCTGCAGGAGATCGGGGGCCCCTTGCTGCAAGGGACACGCGCGTGGCGGGGGGGCAGGGGACGTACCTGGCCACACGAGGACCGATGGTTGGAAAGACATGCGGTCGCACGTATCCAGCTTCCTGGTGGGGAGGTTCTAAGAACAAGGGGCGAGGAGAGGGGCGGGAGTGAGTGGGCAAGCTAGGCGCGCTCGCGTCATGTCTGACGTCCTACCTCTTTCTCACATCCCTTGCCAGTGCGTAGAGCCGCTCTCTAGTCGCACAATCGGCTGTCTAAGAGGACAACGATCCCCAAAGGGCACTTGGTGCATAGCATGGCATACCATTGCGTAATCAAGCCTTGCATATCATAGCATTGCAGCGCATGGCAAGGCATCGCATAGCGGTACATAGTCTCGCGTGGCATACCATTTTATTGCATTGTAACTCGAGCAAGGCAGTGGAGAGGAGAGGGGCGAAAGGGAGTGGCTGAGAGCAAACGGGAACGATTGGAGGGCAACAGGCTGGGATCGGATTTCGCCACGCGCCCCGCTCGTACCAGGCGCCGTGAGGCGGAGGACGAGGGGGGCGGCCCCCGCTGAGCCCCTCAGGCCGTGTTGTCCGTCCCCCAGCCCGCGGCCTTCATGGCCTTGCTGTCCCACTCCTTGTCCCTCGTGTTCTCCGCCTCGGTCAGCGTGCGCTCGGCGTAGTACTGCTTGTTGACGTTGCAGGTCTTGTACGCGCAGTCCATGCTCTTGCACTCCAGGCACCGGTCGTGCTTCTCCTTCGTCAGGCAGCACGTCACGTCCTTCTTCGTGCCCTGCGAGCCCGTGACCAGGCCGGCCTCGTTGCGCTCCGCGCACGGGTTCCCGTGATCCCGGGCGCACGCCTGGTAGCTGTAGGCCAGCGCCTCGTCACAGCCCGCGCACGGGTCCTGCTCGAACTCCATGGCGTGCATCTGCATGGCGAGCTGGGCCATCGTGTCGCCGACACGCGTGCCGGCCCCTGCCTGGCCGCCGAGCGCGGCGCGCGGCACGGCGAGCAGCAGCAGCGCCTGGAAGCCCTTCATTGCGACGTTCGCGGGAGGCCGTGGAGCGAGCGCAAGTGGCCAACTGGCCAAGCTGCCACGCTTGAGGCTGTCAGCACGGGCCAGGGAGGAGGCGGAGGTGGGCCAGCCCGGGGCGCAGGCGGGGCGGGGATGCGGCCCGTGAGGAGGCGAGGCAGCCGCTCGGCTCACTGGCGTCGGACTGTGAAAACACATGCGTACACACACCTACACACACTCTCGACTGCACAGGCGGCGTAGCGCTCGCCTGCCACAGGCGGCGTAGCACTGGGAGCACACACTCAAACACTCTCTGGACCGCCAAGAGGACATCAAGCCACCGCCAGAAGGACAGCCTGTCAAGCAGCACGACGTTCGAGAGCACCAGTGGGAGCTTGCAGTGTGGCGGCCAGGCCCCAGGAGAGGCCACTGGCCAGAGCCAGGAGCGTGGTCGCCATGGGGAAGGAGGGGCAGAGGAGAGACAGGCGGAACTCAGCCTGCAGGAGATCGGGGGCCCCTTGCTGCAAGGGACACGCGCGTGGCGGGGGGGCAGGGGACGTACCTGGCCACACGAGGACCGATGGTTGGAAAGACATGCGGTCGCACGTATCCAGCTTCCTGGTGGGGAGGTTCTAAGAACAAGGGGCGAGGAGAGGGGCGGGAGTGAGTGGGCAAGCTAGGCGCGCTCGCGTCATGTCTGACGTCCTACCTCTTTCTCACATCCCTTGCCAGTGCGTAGAGCCGCTCTCTAGTCGCACAATCGGCTGTCTAAGAGGACAACGATCCCCAAAGGGCACTTGGTGCATAGCATGGCATACCATTGCGTAGTCAAGCCTTGCATATCATAGCATTGCAGCGCATGGCAAGGCATCGCATAGCGGTACATAGTATCGCGTGGCATACCATTGCGCTGCATTGTAACTCGAGCAAGGCAGTGGAGAGGAGAGGGGCGAAAGGGAGTGGCTGAGAGCAAACGGGAAAGATTGGAGGGCAACAGGCTGGGATCGGATTTCGCCACGCGCCCCGCTCGTACCAGGCGCCGTGAGGCGGAGGACGAGGGGGGCGGCCCCCGCTGAGCCCCTCAGGCCGTGTTGTCCGTCCCCCAGCCCGCGGCCTTCATGGCCTTGCTGTCCCACTCCTTGTCCCTCGTGTTCTCCGCCTCGGTCAGCGTGCGCTCGGCGTAGTACTGCTTGTTGACGTTGCAGGTCTTGTACGCGCAGTCCATGCTCTTGCACTCCAGGCACCGGTCGTGCTTCTCCTTCGTCAGGCAGCACGTCACGTCCTTCTTCGTGCCCTGCGAGCCCGTGACCAGGCCGGCCTCGTTGCGCTCCGCGCACGGGTTCCCGTGATCCCGGGCGCACGCCTGGTAGCTGTAGGCCAGCGCCTCGTCACAGCCCGCGCACGGGTCCTGCTCGAACTCCATGGCGTGCATCTGCATGGCGAGCTGGGCCATCGTGTCGCCGACACGCGTGCCGGCCCCTGCCTGGCCGCCGAGCGCGGCGCGCGGCACGGCGAGCAGCAGCAGCGCCTGGAAGCCCTTCATTGCGACGTTCGCGGGAGGCCGTGGAGCGAGCGCAAGTGGCCAACTGGCCAAGCTGCCACGCTTGAGGCTGTCAGCACGGGCCAGGGAGGAGGCGGAGGTGGGCCAGCCCGGGGCGCAGGCGGGGCGGGGATGCGGCCCGTGAGGAGGCGAGGCAGCCGCTCGGCTCACTGGCGTCGGACTGTGAAAACACATGCGTACACACACCTACACACACTCTCGACTGCACAGGCGGCGTAGCGCTCGCCTGCCACAGGCGGCGTAGCACTGGGAGCACACACTCAAACACTCTCTGGACCGCCAAGAGGACATCAAGCCACCGCCAGAAGGACAGCCTGTCAAGCAGCACGACGTTCGAGAGCACCAGTGGGAGCTTGCAGTGTGGCGGCCAGGCCCCAGGAGAGGCCACTGGCCAGAGCCAGGAGCGTGGTCGCCATGGGGAAGGAGGGGCAGAGGAGAGACAGGCGGAACTCAGCCTGCAGGAGATCGGGGGCCCCTTGCTGCAAGGGACACGCGCGTGGCGGGGGGGCAGGGGACGTACCTGGCCACACGAGGACCGATGGTTGGAAAGACATGCGGTCGCACGTATCCAGCTTCCTGGTGGGGAGGTTCTAAGAACAAGGGGCGAGGAGAGGGGCGGGAGTGAGTGGGCAAGCTAGGCGCGCTCGCGTCATGTCTGACGTCCTGCCACGCTTGAGGCTGTCAGCACGGGCCAGGGAGGAGGCGGAGGTGGGCCAGCCCGGGGCGCAGGCGGGGCGGGGATGCGGCCCGTGAGGAGGCGAGGCAGCCGCTCGGCTCACTGGCTGGGAATCGGGACGACGGTCGGACTGTGAAGACACATGGCGGATCCCAGAAACCCTGAACCCAAAAAGGCTGTCATCTTTGGACGCCCGAAATGGGCACGGAAAGAATGGGTACAGTGCCCAACAACAAGTGTTGTCCCAAACCAACAGCGGCCGCTGTTGGGCAGGCGGCCTTTTGTCTCGAACGGACACAGGCCCCGGCGGCGCGGACAGCGAGTCCTGTCCAAAATGAACAGGAACTGCTGTTAGGCATTGTACCCATTCTTTCCGTACCCATTTCGGGCGTCCAAATCATCTCTTGGGAGACCAACTTCTGATTCCGCCGGCTTCCGCCAGCTTCCGCCAGCTTCTGCCGGCGGAGCCGCCCTCGTTGTACACTGGCCTCGGCGGCGCGTGCGGCCGGCAACGGCCCGCGGCGGCCCGCGGGCCTCCTCTCGAAGAAGACAAGCTTATGCTGTTGAGCATGGAAGCGTGTGGATGAGCGGCGGCTCCGTAGGCGCCTCCGGGGAGGGGAAGGCGCCGATTCAAGAACTTTGACCTCCCACAGCTCTACTCTGGAGGTCCAGAAAGGATCCTGGCCCAAAGTGCGCCCCAGCCTCTCGCGACGTTCTGGAGCCCAGGGCCCTCTGGGGCCCCTCGGGGGGCGCGGTGCGAGGCCATCCCCCAGAACCCCGACGCCGTGATGCCGTCAGGACGTAGACCCCCAGAGGTCTCGACCACTTGCCCCAGAGAGCAGCTTTTCATCCCGGGTCGCTCTCGGAGAACCCCCCCCCCTGGGCCCGACCGGGTGACCAGGGCCCTCCCCGCGAGGCCGAACGCAAGGCCTCCCGCCTTGGCTTCTGTCACGATGCCGCTGGCTCCGAGGCCGACCCAGCCGCCCAGAAGCGGCTAGAAACGGCCCCCAAACTCGACAGTCGATCCTCGGGGTCGTCGGCGGACGTCGAACATCGACCCCTGCAAGAGCAGAGGCCGCCTGAGGCAGCGCCCGACCTGCGGCGGCGGGCCGGCGTGCGCCTTGGCGGCGGCGGGCGGGCCGGCGCGGGTGCCTGGGCGGGCGGAGCCGCCCTCTGCAGCGACACGTAGGAGTAGTGCGCGCACACCTGGTGTCGCCGCGGCGCTGAAAGGCACGACGGCCGAGCGCCCAGAGCTACAGAGCAGACGGCCGACTCCAGAAGCACTGGGTTCCGAAGTGTGGGCGTCCCACTGTTTACTCTGGAGCTTCGAATGCAATCTTGAGGAAGCCTCGTTTTGCAGCGCATGGACAGCCAAATTCGACAACAGTTGTCGCTCGTACACAAAAGGCCACCACAATGGTCCAGACAAGCCTAGAACTTTGTGGGCCCCGGAAACGGCAGGGCCGTTTTTTCACCGTTTCCAAAAGAATGCCCCTTGAAAAAGGAAACGGCAAAAAAATGGCGACCGCAAGCGGCAAAAAAACAGCTTCAGGATTGGAACCGTAGCTGGAACTGGTCCAAAAACGGCGACGGAACCGGTAAAACAACGGCGTCGGAACCGGCAAAAAAACGGCAAAACGGAACCCCCAGGGCCCACTGAGGCCTAGAAGGGCGCACGTGCATGATCAACCAGTGCCTGTGCCGAACGGCGACTTGTATCGTGATGGCTGGCCTGCTCCTCCTCCAGCGTAGACAACAATTGTGAAACAAGATGGCTTTTCCGTTGACCCCGTCGGTGCACCAATGCACTCCCTGTTCTCACATTGCCGTTCCTTCTGCGCGACAGCCGTCTGTTCCCCTGCCAAACCAATGTGCCGTGCGACATGGCTTGCGAACGAACGGCTTCCGCTGGTCTTCCGCCGGCGGCACCGCCACCGTCAGCCCTCCTGCACGATCCTTCTCTCCGTTGGTCCTCCTCCTCCTCCTCCTCCTCCTCCTCCTCCTCCTCCTCCTCCTCCTCCTCCTACATGTGGAGGAGGAGAAGGAAGAGGAAGAAGAAAAGGAGAAGGAGGAGGAGGAGAGATTGAAGTGGGGGAGGAGGAGGAGGAGGAGGAGGAGGAGGAAGAGAGGGAGGAGGAGAAGGAGGAGAAGGAGGAGGAGGGGAAGAGGAGAGGAGGAGGAGGAGGAGGAGGAGGAGGAGGAGGAGGGAGGAGGGAGGAGGAAGAGGGAGGAGGAATAGGAGTAAGAGGATGAGGAGGAATAGGAGAGGAGAGGAGGAGGAGGAGAGGGAGGAGGAGGAGGGAGGAGGAGGAGGAGAGGGAGAAGGAGGAGGAGGACGAGGAAAATGGAGAGGAGGAGGAGGAAGAGGAGGAAGAGGAGGAGGAGGAGGAGGAGGAGATGACGAAGGGGGCGGGGAATGAGGAGGATGAGGAGGGGGAGGAGGAGGAGGAGTAGGAGTAGGAGTAGGAGTAGGAGTAGTAGGAGGAGGAGGAGGAGGAGGAGAAGGAGGAGGAGGAGTATGAGCACCCTGAGAAAGGAAGAGGGCAGGCGGACACGAGCACGAACGAGAAGAGAGCAACTGAGTCAGTCTCTGCCGCCGTGCTCTGGCCTAGCGCCTCTACTTGTATATTGATGCGTGTGCTGCACGGCGCGATGCGGCCAGGTCTGCTTGCGAGACAGCCGCCGTGCGCGCGCTGGCAGCGAATTTGAACTTGTAATCAATAGGATTTGCCAGTACGATCCTTGAGACCCTGGTTGGCAACGACATCCGGCTGGTGGGGTCAGCTGCATCTGCTGCGGCCGTGCCT